TTCTAGATTCCAGGTTCTTTTCCCTTTCTTGTATTAGTATAAGGCAGGCATTGCAACAGGAATTATAGGAGCCTTCCTTTTTGTTGTTGTTGGGTTTTTGTTTGTTTGTTTTGAGATAGGGTCTCACTATATACTTGAGACTGACCTGGAACTCACTGTTTAGCCCAGGCTGGTCTTGAACTCACAGTAATCCTCCTGCCTCAGCCTCCCCAATGCTGGGATTACAGGTGTGCACCACCACGCCCGGCTTTAGGAGCCTTCCTTTTAATCAGTCTCAACTAGGTTAATTGCAGTGACTCTTGGTAGGAGCATTTAATAGCACAGAAAGTTTGATTGTAAAAGGTATTTTGATCTTGGTGCAGATCTTTAATCTGCAGATGTGTTCCTCTCTGCAAGGTAGCTGTAGCATTTTTGATTTGCATCGTAAGGGTTACTTTGATGTTTGATGAACAGACGTATGGCTTGAGCTGATTGGTGAGAACCTTTAAAGGTGTATTCCCTGGTATGTGACCATCTTTCAGTAACTGATACAGCATTTGTAAGCTCTCCGTTTCTCATTACCTCACTGGTCTTAGAATTTAATCTTTATGGAAGGGTTTAAAGTCAGTTTTGCTTTTAAATTTAAGGAATTTTGCTTTTACAATAAGAGAGACTAGGTATTTTAAGGATATAATGGGGACAGCTGCTGGGAAAATTTATGAGCATATATTAAACTCAGTATTTAAATAAAAACTTAAAAGATGAAAATCTGAATTTTTATTTGTGGAGCACCTGATGGGATCTAGCCCAGGCTTCTCATTTTACCCAGAGGGTTAATGGAAATAACCTGGAGTTATACCACTCCCTCCTTCCAGAGGCTCCAGGCCCAGCCTTCTTACAGGTGAAGACCATATGGGAGACTGAGAGTTTTATGCTTCTCCACCTTTGTGGCATCATTATCAAGTGGCTTTAAAGTCTGACTGTCTTATCTAATAGGACGTGTGATAACTCATTGACCTCTTAAGTGATAAAGATGGAAAGAACCAGAGGACTCCAGTGAGGCAAGTCTGTGCCAACCCTGAGTGGGGAAGCAGACAAGTATAGTGGGCAGGAGCATGACATCTGAGACCATAGCACCTGCTTCACACCTTGGCCTGTCACTGTGTGACCGCAGATGCATTACTTTCTCTAAGCCTGAACTTCCTCCCCGTAGAATAGAATGTACAAATTTGTACATTAGGTAAGCCAAATAAAGAATTTCTTAAGTGGTTGGCACTTGACTCTAAGTAGTGGTTCTTATTTATCTCTACCGCTTTATAAACTACTACACCCAGGGCTGGGGATTTAGCTCAGTGGTTCTACCACTTGCCTCACAATCGCAAGGTCCTGAGTTCAATTCCAGATACAAAAAAATAAAAAAACTACTAGACCAATTTTTTGAAAGTTTTGGAGCCTTTCTAGGAAAGCTTGTATAGAAATAATATAAACAGATAAATGGGAGTGATTATTTGTTGAAGGGAGGTATGCAGTCTTGTCCTGCCATCACTCCTAGCCACCACCAGATTCCCTAAATCATAAATTGAAGGGAAATAAAAACAACTAAACCATCTACTTTTCATAGAGAGAGAAGGTAAAGTCCAGGGAGTTAAAGTAGTTTAACTGCATTCACATAGATAATTAGTGTGAGAGCAAGGGCCCAGGGCCAGACAGTGTCAAACAGGGCAGATTTTGTTCCTATGGAAGAAAGCACTGTGTACATTTAAAGGCATTGTTTCTATCAGGGAGCAAGAAATGTGACAGAGGGGAACCTCTCTTTACCCAAGAAGTGATTACAAAACCAACAGTTGAATAATTTATCATTAAATTGTTATACATATATCTAGGGTGGACTTTTATTCAAACACTAAGAAAACTTTGCAAACAGAATTTTTTAGTAACCTAAAATAACTATAAGGTTAAGCTTTTTTTTTAAAAAAAGGCAAGATACCAAACCCTAATAATAGGACAGTCTTAATTCTTGAAATATCTATACATATAAGAAGACTGGAATTGAGCTAAAATATTAATGGGAATATCCTCTAAGAAGTAGGATTATGAGTGATTTTAAAAAATATTTTCTTGCCTGGTGTGGTGGTGTATACCTGTAGTCCCATCTACTCCTCAAGCTGAGGAGGATCCCAAGTTTGAGGCCAGCCTGGGCAACTTAGCAAGACGATGTTTCATTATTTAAAAAAAAGAAAACAGTTTGATCCCCAGTACCAAAAAAAAAAAAAAAAAAAAAAAAAAAAAAAAAAAAAACAAAATAAAAAAGAAAACAACATTTATTAAAATAAATGCACATATACTCACAAAAGTCTAATGTGGAAAGGATGACAGAAAAAAATATCTAAAAGGGTCAGTAATAAATTAATTTTTTGTAATCTAGCCTTTTAAGATAACTTTTTTAGAACCAGGAGTAGTAGTGTATACCTGTAATCCTAACTCTGGGGAGGCTGAGGCATGTGTTCGAGGCCAGCCTGGTCTACATAGCGAGACCCTGTTTCAAAAAACAAAAAACACATAATTGATGTTTGCAGAACTTGACTCTAAGTAGTGGTTATTATTTATGTCTACTACTTAATCTACTAGACCCAGGGCTGGGGATTTAGCTCAGGGTTTCCACTGCCTACCTCACAAGAGCAAGGTCCTGAGTTTGATTCCAGGTACCAAAAATAAAAAAATAAATAAACTACTAGACCCATTTTTTAAAAAGTTTTGGATGAAAGCTTGTATAGAAGTATGAGAGTGCATTAAATATGTAAATTTATTCTAATGTTCTTCAGATCCTCTGATATCTTCCACCTGTAGTTCATGCACTTTACATCTACATTAGTGCTCCATAAATTTGTTAGCTCTGTAGCCTCAGTTTCTTAGCTACATAAACTTAATCATTCCTCATATGCAAACAAAAGAATCTATTAAAATATTTGATAATGTATTTAGGATTCTTAAAATGTTTCATATACAAGGAAGATGTTGGCTTTTCATAGTGTTATAATACATTTGTATGTTCACTTCTTAAAACTAGGCTAATAACTATCCTGCTTTTCTCTTGTAGACCTGCCAAACCCAAGCATGTGGAACTAAATCTTAAAACCCCCTAAGAATCCTTATAGTTTGGGAAATGAGCATAGTCCATTTAACCAGCCAGTTCATAAAGGAAACACTGCCACCAAAATCTCCTTATTTGAAAATAAACGAGTAAATAATAGCCCAAGACACACTGAGGTTCGAGGCATAAGGAACACTTTTGCCTCTAATAAGACATTTGTTGGGAGGGCAAAGCTGAATTTAGCCAAAAAAGCTAAGGAAATGGAGCAACCAGAAAAGAAAGTAGTGCCAAACAGTCACCAGAATGGTGGGCTGGTGAAAGAACAGTCTGCAGAAACCAAAGGTCCTCTCTCTGAAAAAGAGATTCTCCCAGTACCCAAACAAAGGGGAGGAGAGCCCACGAAGCAAGCTTCCGGTCCTCAGCCCAGCCAGGATGATACAGAAAATGTGCAAAGAGATGCTGGTGGCCCATCAGAACCAGTGGTTACTACTCTGATTGCTGTCCAGGACCAGAAGCTCTTAGAAGATGACTCTGAGACCTCTGAAAGCAAAAGACTTGCGCTTGAACATCTGGTGGATGCAGCACGAGATGTCCCCTCTGCTCTTGATACCAAAGATTTATCTCCAAAGCCACAAAATACATTTGCTGACTTGCAGCCCCCAGCTGAGTCATCATCTAAGGAGCCTTCTTCCCCACTGCCTACCTCCATTCCTGTGGATGTTCCCAAAGATGTATGTGCTCAAACTCCCATAAGTGGCTTTCCATGCACTGATCTAAAAGCGTCAGAAAACCGTAATGGGTGTATTTTGCCTGTATCTCACCACAGTGAGAAAATGCCACTCTCTAAAGTCAGAGAAGGGGGAGAATCAGACCCTCCTTTGTCTCTAGAAAACAACTCAGAAGGTGTGGGAAATGAGTGTCCATCCAAGGTGCTTCTCCAGTTCAGGTCCTTTGTACTTCCTGTGGAGAGCACCCAGGATGTGAGCTCCCACATCATCTCAGAAAGCTCTGAAGTTAGAGAAGTGCAGTTGCCAAGTTGTCACAATAATGAACTTGAGGTGGTTTCAGTTGCAAGTTGTACTCCCCAGCAAGAGGAAGTAGTGGGCAATACAAGCACATCACCCAAGCACACTTGTTGCAAAGAAGAAGAAATAGCAAAGTCTGACTCATATCTCATGCCAGCCGAATTGGACAAAGCTTTGCCTACCCACGCTCAAAGTGAGGGTAGCCGGATACCCCCAGGGGCTGAGTCTAGCCCCATTAATTCTCCAAGCAGCAGAATTTATTCAGAAACTACTCAAAGGCCAGATCAGAATGTTGCGAATGGCCAGGATAGTCTTTTGAATGTCCCTGCTGGTAGTGATGACAGTGTATTTGATTCCTCTTCTGATATGGAAAAATTTACAGAAATTATAAAAAAGATGGGCAGTACAGTTTGTGTGCCTCAGAAGAAGAAGCCCAGAATGCCAAACTCTCCCGCCCCTCATTTTGCCATGCCTCCAATTCACGACGACAATTTAGAAAAGGTGTTTGATCCCAAAGTGTTCACTGTTGGTTTGAGGAAGAAGGAAAGCCAGCTAGAAACGTTACCAGGTTTACATCTCATGCAGAGCCTGGACCCCAGATCTAAACTGAGGCCCAAACGTGCATCCACTGAGCACAGTGTCATCTTTAAGTCTTTGCATGGCAACACTGACGGGAAAAGTGAATCTCAGGTGACTCCAGAGACAAATGACAAAGAGAACAGGGATATCATCAATGGTGGTGTTAAAAGATCGAGGCTAGAAAAAAGTGCACTTTTCTCAAGCATATTATCTTCTTTACCACAAGACAAAATCTTTTCTCCCTCTGTGACATCAGTGAAAACTATGACCACGTCTTTCAGCACTTCTCAGAACTGTTCCCCATCTTTGACTTCAGCCCACAACTCATGGTGCCCCGCCCAGTGGCTCTAACAGAGAACAGCCAAATCTGCCCCATAATTCCTTAAAGGTCTTTAATTTCAACTCATCAAATACTTCTCATTCAAGCATGAAAAGTCCAAGCCACATGGAAAAGTACCTGCAAAAAGAGGAAACCAAAGAAGATATGAATTCTTGAAGCAACCTGCACGTGCCAGAAACTAAATTTTCCAAACTGAAGAACAGCGATGATATGGAAAAGACTAATCATATTGAAAGTGTTCTTAAGTCAAATTTGCTAAATCTTGGAAACAGTGAAGCTGATTTCACAGATCTTTTCAAATCAAGCCGATAACGATCCAAGCATTCCTTTTTCTGCAATGTCATTATCTGACACAGTGGTGAGTGTATATAGTATCATTTGGGATGTTTATAAAGATAGGGAGAGGGGAATGGGAGTCCTTCATGTTATTCTTTAGAAATGGTTGTGCTGTGTACAGTAATTTTGTATTCACAAATTTGAGGACCTGTTTATGAAAGATCAAACAAAAAGGTACTCAGACTTCTCAAGACATTCGTGGTCATTAGGGATAATGAGCTACATATTTTAAAGTATATGTGAGTTTATATGAAAAGTATAGATGAAAGTTTGGAGACAGGACAATTTTCTTACATATTACATGTAAAAATGCTCAGTATTTCGAATTTTAAAGATTGTGAAACTGCTTCCTCTATTTGGAAAGGTCCCTCCTGGCAAAGAAGTTTTATTTTCTTTTTCTCAGACTATGAGATTTCACCCATTATTTGGAGCAATATATTTATCCCATGCATCTAAGAAATAATTTTCTTTTTAATAGGAATTAGTTTTCATCTATGAAATCTTTTTCCTGCAAAAGTTTGAGGCGCAAAAACTTAATTTACTTTATAGCTTTCCTTCAATATTACAGTGAGGATCACAAATACAGTATTTAGAGACAGTGATTTCTCTATCTTCTTTCATCTGTTTGCCAGAGGTTTCCCTCTTGTTTAATTTCTTGGTTGTTTTGTTTTGTTTTCTGGTACTGATGATTGAACTCAAGGCCTTGTGCATGTTAAATGTACTTTGTACCACTGAGCAACACACTCAAGAAGTTGTTTTCCTTACTCAGTTTTTCATGTGAATTTGTGCCATTTTGCTCCCAATTCTGATACTGAACTTGAGGGAAGACAATAAATAAGGAAGGCAGAGTATCAGGGGTACGGCTTTCTTTGCCTAGAAACATGAGTGGAACTTGAATTCCGGTGGCCTACCCTTTGAGCCAGCTACCAGGCAAGCATAGGGTTGTGACCAGCAGAGAATCCCTTGTTCCTATCCTCATCTGGACAAAGCTGCACAGCATGTTTCATGGGTTATGTTGGTTTTTGCTGCAGCCCTGTCATAGAATGGAATTCTGGAAGCTCTTGCAAAATGTGTAGTGGTGTTTCTAGTTGCTGAGCAGATTCCTTTTTTCATGTGAACATAAACCAATACCTTTCACCCCTTTTGGTCTCAGGACCCATTTACATTTAAAAATTATTGAGAACCTCAAAGAGCTTTTGTTTGTACAGGTTCTGCCCACCAGAATTTGCTGTGTTAGAAATGAACACTGAGTAGCATTTAAAATACCAGAAAGCATTGGCCTTCAGCTCATTTCATGGAGCCTTGACTCTTCTGTGTACTTGTGAGAGAACAGGACGGAAAGGGCAGATAACCTCTCCTTATTATGAAAATAGCTTTGGCCTCTGGACACTCTGAAAGGATATTGGGGACCACCAAGAATATCTGGATCATACATTGAAAGCTGAACCTACCTATAACACTTTGAAATCATCCAATTCTTAACTTATCTCAAATACAAAATTTCTGCTGGTCCACTGTGGCTTTGTTCTTTTTAATTAATCTGACAAGTCTGACAACAGAATTATGCAGTTTCCCTATGAAAACCAAGTCAGCTAGAGTGAAATGGAGAAACAATGCCATTTTTTTTTTCCAGACCTTTTTATGATTTCTTTTTAAACTGATCTTTCTTTAGGTCCTAGCCTTTATTGATTGTATGATAGTTATGTGTTAAATATTTTACCTGAATTTCGTTTAAAATTTTAGGCTTTTCCCTCAGTTTATTTACATCTCCTATATGTTTAGACATAGATACATATAAAAGAGTAAGTATATGGCATTTTGATTTCTAATAGTGCTCAGTGGGGCCTTCCTCTGGTCCTGGGACATATTCCACTCTGGTATGATGCAAGAGAAATGAGATCAAAGGCAGGCCTTAGAAGAGGCATCCTGTTTAGCATTGAAAGTAGCCCATGTTTTGTAATATTTTTATGTGTATAATTACTATTTTTATTATCTTCTGCATTTCTGGTTTTACTGGTCTTGTCAGATGGTCTTGAAAAATGATTAGTTTTGATGCCATATAAAAAGGTATTTCTGACTTGGAAGTTCTCAAGCTTGCCTATGTATGAACATCACCTGAAATGCTGCTCAGAAAGACTGATTCCTGGAGCCCCATTCCAAGCAACATTTATCTTCAACACTCTCGGGCACTAACTGAGAGCCCAAGGGGATGGAGTAGGGAGCTCTCTGAGGTTGTGACCACACCTTCAGCTGAGAATTCAGCCCTGACCATCAGTTTCAAAGCCTCCACTCCTAAAATCCCACCATGTTTTGTGTCTTAGTATTGCTCTTCCTACTTTTTGCCATAAATTTGTGTGCATATTAACATTCTGACTTACTGATCTGATCATTACAAAAGATCATTTTTAAAACTGAAAAATCCAAACTAAAGAATAAAAACCATCTCCATTAAAAAAAGGGGGGATATTTTGTCCATCAAAAAGGAAACACTAAATATACCACATGCAGTGTACATTGTGACATATAGCACACACTTTTAGTTAGACAGTAGTTGTTTACATCATGGTAGATGTTACTGTGAAAACACAATATTTACAGGTTCAGCTAGGGTGTGTATATGAACATAGAAAATCAACTCAGCTCTTTGTAGATAAGTGATTAATACCTCCTAATTTATGTATTTGAGATTACACTAAGATTATTTGAATTACAATCTCTTAGTTCTTAGTCTGTGAAGTGACATAAAACCTAGGTCTGACTTTTGTGTCCTACATTTTCTAGCATTGGTAGAAAGAGTTTAAAATGAGAAGAAACTGAAACAGCAAGTTCAGTTAGAGGGGAAAGATGCTCTTAACAGCGAGAACTAAATACAGTGTTAATATAATTTTGTCATAAAGCAGGATGGACATGTTTCAAAAAGAGAAATTGTGAGGTAAATATGATCTCTCTTAACGATCATAGGTAGAGAAGAAGACTGTTATATGAAATAGTAATTGTTATGTTTTTATTCATTTGATTACAGACACTTAGAGGAAGTGTCCAAAATAAACTCAATCCCAGACCTGGAAAGGTAAGATTATTTTCTATTTCTAGTCTAGATTTTATCTTGGTCTGCTGGAGTACAACAAAGTGTGCTACTTTCATTTTCTCATAGGTGGTGATATTCAGTGAACCTGATGTTTCTGAGAAGCACATTGAAGTTTTCAGCAGCATTCAGGATTGCAGTTCCTGGAAACTCTCTCCAGTGGTACTTATAAAGGTTGTTAGAGGATGGTAAGAGTGACACCTAGGATCCTGTGTTTTCCTTAATTACCTTTTTGCTCTTCTGTTCTTTACTTACAGTTACTCTTTATCAGTGTAAAATGCAGAAAACACTATCTGTGGACAGGGATTTATACCTATGTTTTTAATTTTTTATTTTTTTGTGGTATTAGGGCCTTTGCATTGAGCTAGATCTCCAGTCCATTTTTATTTTGAGAGATGTACTCACTAAGTTGGTAAGTTGTCCTGACTGTGTTTGAACTTGTGATCCTCCTTCCTTAGCCTCCCAAAGTGCTGTGACTGCAAACCTGTGTTATCAGGGCTGGCAAGAAATACAGTTTTAATCGTGTTTCTGTTTATTGGATTGATACATGTTCCTGGCAGGAAAACGAGAAAAGTGCAGTAGACCAAGCTTCGTTTTCCCATATATTTCCATGTAACACTACTTTGAATTAATCAGACAATAGGCCAATGATATGCTTTTGGCTGATAAAAATTGCACTGTAGTCATATTGATGTGACTTTAATAATAAATAAGAAAAGACATTTTACTAATTTTTGTAATGACAGTTCAGTGAAGAACTAAGCTAACATTTACTTTCCACTGTTTGACAGAAGATTGTTTTAAGTAAAGAAACAAAATATAAATACTTCTGCAATTTCTAAAATTGGTTTACTAGCTTAATTGCCTCTTGGAAATATGCAAAAAGTTGAATAAAAGAAAGCAAGTTTAAGAAAACCACTGATCTGACATAAATGTTTCTCTGGTGCTTATAGACTTTTTGAAGTAAAGAGGATAGTAGAGCTATAGACATTAACAGTTCTAAAAATTAGTAAGTTTTCTTTTCATCTTCATTGGATTAAATTTGCATCTTTTTCTTTTTTTTTTTTTGGTTTGGTTTTTGAGACAAGCTCTTGCTTTGTATTGTAAGCTGGCCTTAAAATCACTATGTAGCCCAGGTTGGCCTCAAACTCACAGTGATCTTCATGCCTCAGCCTCCCAAGAGCTTGGATGACAGAAGTGCATCACCACACCCAGCTACATAACATCTTTCATACTAGGTTTTTAAATACTTTAATACATATATTCAATATAATCCTTACTAAAAATAGGCTTTCACACTTAAATTTGGAGACTGAAAATTGTACTAGATTTGTTTGTTTGTATTTTAGACAGGGTTTCACTATGTAGTTGAGACTAACCTGGAACTCATAATGTAGCCCAGGCTGGTCTCGAACTCACATTGATTCTCCTGCCTCAGCCTCCTGAGTGCTGGGATTACAGGCATGCACCACCACACCCAGCTATACTAAATTTTGTATGACAATTTTTAATAAAAGTATTTTTTTTTTCTTTTGCAACTCTTGCTGGCTTTTTTCTTTTCTTTTCTTTTTTGTTTTTTGGCACTGGGGATCAAACTCAGGTCTTTGTGCTTGTGAGGCAGGCGGCAGAACCACTGAGCTAACTCCCCAGCCCCTTTTTTCTTTTTGTGAAAGCATAAGCACTTAAGATCAACACTGCCTATATTAACATGAGGATCTTCTTGGTGTTTAGCTTTTGTTGGGGAGAATATTTCAAAATGCTTTCCATTAACATGCAAGTAGTCCTTTGTATCAACATATCCATTGATTTGACTCAAGTTAAAATTTCTCCAAGTGAAATGTTTGCACATATAAGGAAAAACATCCCACTGCATTAAATATCCATTTTCTTGACATATTATCAGTTGTAACTCTCTACTGACTAGCAAGTCCACAGAATATTGGTAGCTCTATAGCACCTAAGGCAATAACCTTAAAGTTCTCTAAGACCCTAATACAGTTCTTGAATTTTTAGTACAGAGATTGAAGCCAGGGCCTCATGCCACTGAGCTGTTACATTCCCCCCACACACATACCTTGTTTTTTATGGACAAATTTTTTCCCTTTAGTGTTTTTGGTTTCTGCATGATTTGTGATTACCTTGAGTAATTTACTTCTGTTTTGGAGGATAATCCAGAAATAATTCAGTTGATAGTTGGACTCTGAGGTTCTATGTGGATTTAAAAAATATTAGTTGAATATTTGAACCCACCTTATAGATTGATCTCCCGGCTTCTTATTCACTGGTGAGAAAAGTGCTATCAACATATTTCATTTTTACTCATGAACCTGTAAAACTAGGTGTTTTGCTAGGGGAAAATTAAAATTCCAAGTTTGTTAGTAAAGATGGAGATTGTGAAGTGCAAAAGAGAGAAATGGAAGGTTCTAAATTAGAATGAATAAGAATAAATAACAATGTTTAGCAGAGGAAAACATTAGTGTGTCCTAGCTCAACATTTCTGGTGACGGAAGTGATAACTAGTATTGTAAATAATTCACCTTTTAACAATTTTAATATGATATGATATGCCAGAAATGAGCTATGAGGAACCCTATTTCAAAATGTCCTCATCAGTGGAATGTTTTCCTTATGTTTTTATTCATTGCTCAAATAATATTAATAATACACAGTATTGTAAAATATCTGAATCCCATCATCACAAAGTGTCTTCTCCTTTCACTTTTTGAGTTCTTCAGCTTTTGCTGGCCATACTCTGGCAGCAGTTGAGAGACTCCAGTGCAGCCATTTTGTGGCTTCTCTGTGCTTCGTTACTTCAGATCCCTCGAGTCAGCGCTCCTGTGATCCAGGAACGTCGAGGGCAGGAGACAGAAAGATGTTCCAAAGTTCTAATAAATACATTTTTGATGTGGATCTCTGTTTGAATGTAACAACTGAGATGCATGACTAAAGCAGCATGTTTCCTTCCAAATTGTCATAATATGAAGTTATAAGTGGAAGTAGGAACAGGATGAAATGGCAGGTATCCTGTGAAGTATGCATATTGAAGGCTTATTTTAATCAGTTGTAGGGCTGGATGTCTCAGTGGCCCTGTGCCTGCCTGGCAAGCACAAGGTCCTGAGTTTGATCCTAGTATCAGAAAAAAAAAAAAAGATCAGTTGTAAGAACAAAGAATAATGAACTTTGGGCGGGGGGGCATGGTGGCTCAGTGGTTCTGCTACCTGCCTTGCAAGCACAAGGACCCGAGTTCAATCCCTGGTACAAAAAAAACCCAACAACAACAACAACAAAAAAAAAACAAAAAGAATAATGAACTTTAAATACTTGGTGTAACTATTGTTATTCATTTATTATATATGTATTTTTTTTAGGGTTACAGAGTTAGTCAGATTGACTTATTTACTGAGCCAGAAGCGTTGGGAATCCTAAATTCTTACTGTGATGATACTGAAGAAATGCAGGGATTTGGTGTCACGCAGAAGACGTGTTCCATTAAAGTGCATTGGGGAACGTTAAGTATTTCATTTTAAAGAGAGTTTTAATGAAATTGTTTTGGGAGAACAGTATAAGAGAAAGGACTTAACAGTATTCTGTTTCTGATTTGTTGTCCTGTTGTTACTGACTAGGTTTTCTTTTTTATTTATGGCACATAAAATTCTGATTCTTTTGTGCCCTTTTCACTGTGATTCACCTCTCTTATAAATAATAGTGATTTATTGGAGGAGGGGCCAATGCATTTTCAGTGTAGGGCTTTTTTCTTATTTCAGAGGAACCTGACTCATTCAGGGCTGAGTAACAGATTATGTCTTCATGGCAAGTGAAACCATGTGCCCTGATTTCAGGTGGGATGGGAGCCAGCACACATGGAACTTCCTTTAATGCTTTTACACAATACGGTTCCTAGGATGCCAGTTTTACAAATCACAGGAAACTACAGCAATATTTGGAAGGAAATGAGACTATCTCAGATAAGGGAGAAATTAGGATAAAAAGTGCAGACTGCAGTGTGAATGATGGTGGTCTCTAGAGTAGGGTGCAAAGCCCAAGGCTTGTGAAAGATGCCCACTGAGATGCAGGGAAAACCCCAGCAAAGATGCTTTATATGTTAGGTAAAACCTACTTTTATGATTTATTTTTGTTTATGTTTCCTAATATGCACAGTGTATTAGTCAGTGGTAGTGTATATCATTTATAAATATTTACAAATTCATAGAATGCCCAGAAGTCTTCCGTGCTTCGATAAGAAGGTCCTGTGAAGTGAGAGTCTCTCTGCAGTGAATGGTGATGCTTAGTCACATCTTTTACAGTCTCCTGATTAGAATCTTGGCTTTTATTTGCTTATGTTGGAAAATGATTTGGTTGTATAGAATGTAGGAACTGGGTAGATTAGAGATCACACAATTTGATTTTTGGTCTTAAGCAGTCTTTTTGGTAATTTAATAGGAAGTGTGACTTCTGAGACTTGGGCTTATAGTAGCAGCCATCCTGAAAGAGCTGAAAGGTTTACATCTTGAAAAATTATGCTTGCTATCTGATATTTCATAGGACATGCCAGGAAAAAAACAACTGAAATTATAGTGCTGAGCTGGGTGTGGTGACATGTGCCTATACTCCCAGGAGGCTGAGGCAGGAGGATTGCTTGAGCCCAGGGGTATAAGGCCAGTCCAGGAAACATACTGAGCTCTTGCCTCAAAAACAAAACAGAATAAAATACAATACAACATAAAACAAGACAGGAAATTAGAGCAGTGAATTTTGACTTAGCCCAGGGAAGAATTTTCTAATGGAAAAAATAGTTGAAATGGAAGTGGGCTGCCTTATCAGGCAATTTTTCACCACAATTATTCGAGTAGGTGATAGGACAATTTATCTAGGGATTTGTTGGAGGAGTAAAATATGAGTGAGATACCTCCTTTATGACTATTATTTGTTTGCCTTAAAATTTTTGAAATACAACTCACCTAGAGAGAAGTGCATAGAAGATAAATATATAGTTAAAGCAAGTAATAAAGTGAGCCAAATAGATAAACCTCACACAGAAAACTAGAATATCAGTCCTAACCCTACCAGCGTCCTAGAAGCTATGCGTGTGCTTCCCTACACCAGCTCCCTCTTCCCAAAAACAGCTGTCCAATCTTAGTTCATTTTCTGTTGAATACTACCAGCTGATAATTTACAAAGAATAAAGGTT